AATACATTAAGTCTAAATAGGCAGCCTCTGGCCTCTGGTCGATTTAGAAAAGCTCTCCAAGCTGACCAGACCTGATTACAACATTACCATGGCCGCGTTTCCAAACGGCACCCTATTCCCTATATAGAGCCCTATGAGCCCTGGTCAGAAGTAGTGCACTACATAGGGAATGGGGTGCCATTTGGGACGCACCCCAACATCAGCGACCATCCGAAAGTTCAACAAACTTTATTTTCTCAATTTCTAGCTCAACACTCAGCATCATGAATTACAGATGAGACTGACTTCTGACTGACTCTCAGTTTAGGGTCAATTGAACCTGCTACATTAACCAGATACATTAGTACACATTAGGCATTTCAGTTTCAGTTAGAGAAAAGGCCTAATATGTTGGGGTTTTTCTAATTGAAAGGGGGTGTAAATTGTTAGATGCTTTTCCATTAGTAGCTATTAGATTAAATGAGATGCATAATTTCCCCATGAAAACACACATTTGGACTATTTAAATAAATACAAAACTGAAAAACAGTGGTAGCCTCTTCAATTAGACGAACGTTTGAAAGCGAAAGGACTTAAATGACTAAGTTGAGTCAGAGGCAGCTGAAGGGTGACACCTCATGTACTGTAGAATCTCGTGAAATGTCAAGCTTGTGTAAAAGGGACACTTCCAAAACAGCTCTGAGTTTTCCCCTGCAGTTCTGACCTAGGGTTTTAAAAAAGGGAAAGGATCCTAGAGCTGTCCCCTGTAGGACTGACCTAGGGGTCTGATAAGGTTTAAAAGAAGAAACCCGATCCTAGATCTGTCGTGTAGGAACTGACCTAGGGTCTGATAAAGGGTTATGAAGGGAAACTGAAACCTAGATCTGTCGGTAGGAACTGACCTAGGGTCTGATAAGGGTTATAGAGGGAACTGATCCTAGATCTGTCGTGTAGGAACTGACCTAGGGTCTGATAAGGGTTATAGAAGGGAAACTGATCCTAGATCTGTCGTGTAGGAACTGACCTAGGGGTCTGATAAGGGTTATAGAAGGGAAACTGATCCTAGATCTGTCGTGTAGGAACTGACCTAGGGTCTGATAAGGGTTATAGAAGGGAAACTGATCCTAGATCTGTCGTGTAGGAACTGACCTAGGGTCTGATAAGGGTTATAGAAGGGAAACTGATCCTAGATCTGTCGTGTAGGAACTGACCTAGGTCTGATAAGGGTATAGAAGGGGAAAATGATTTCCCAATCTGTGTGTAGGAACGGGCCTAGGGGGCTGTAAGGGTTATAGAAGGGGAAAATGATCCTAGATCTGTCGTGTAGGAACTGACCTAGGTCGATAAAGGGGTTTGAAGGAACTGATCCCAGATCTGTCTTGAGGACTGACCTAGGTCTGATAAGGTTATAACGGGAAACTGATCCTAGACTGTCGGTAGGAACTGACCTGGGTCTGATAAGGTATAAAGGAAACTTATCCTAGATCTGTCGTGTAGAACGACCTAGGGTCCCGATAAGGTTATAAAGGAAACTGATCCTAGATCTGTCGTGTAGAACTGACCTAGGGTCTGATAAGGTTTAAGGGAACTGACTAGATCTGTCTGTAGGAACTACCTAGGGCGATAAGGGTATAGAAGGAAACTGATCCTAATCTGTCGTGTATGAACTGCCCTAGGTCTGATAAGGTTTTAGAAGGAACTGATCCTAATCTGTCTTAGAACTGCCTAGGGTCTGATACGGGTTTAGAGGGAACTGATCTAGATCTTCGTGTGGAACTGACCTGGGTCTATAAATTTTGAGGCTGTCCTATCTTGTCTTCCTGACCAGGCTATAGGTAAAGAAAAACACCAACCTTAAAAACCACAAAACCTACAAACACAACCCCCCAGGCAAGGAAAAGGAACACCAATCCCGTAGAGAAGGGCCATTTTTAAAGGGAAAATCCTCTCTCTAACTGACCTAGTCTGTATTCGTCCAGATCCGTTATGATGGGTTCCTGTATTGAGAAAAAGCTCCTAGCTGCTGAAACACCTTTCTATAGGGATAAAAACGTCTTACGTCTGCACAACCAGGTCTGATAATTAAAAAAACTATCCCGATCTTCGTGAAAACCACAAATTAAGAAAACTTTTGACTGTCCCCAACACCACCCAAAGGTTTCTTCCTAACGGTTTGACCTCCAAAACCCCACCCCTTCTCTCTGGCCTCAAAACCAGGTTGGTTCCCCAACCAACTTCCACCAACTTTCCCCTTTTTCCTTCATAACAAGGTTTTTCCCCAAACACCCCAAACCATCTCCAAACCAGGTTTGCCCAACAACCCCACCCTCTCCTCACCCGGTTGTCCCCACACACCCCACCCTCTCCTACAGGTTGGTTTCCCCAAACACCCCACCCTCTCTCTCTCCTCACCAGGTTTGACCCCAACACACCCCCCCCTCTCTCTCCTCACCAGGTTTGACCCCAACACACCCCACCCCCCTTCTCCTCACCAGGTTGACCCCAACACACCCACCCTCTCTTCTCCTCACCAGGTTTGACCCCACCCCCACCCTCTCTCTTCTCACCAGGTTTGTCCCCACCCCACCCATCTCTCCCTCTCCTCACCAGGTTTGTCCCCAACACCACCCCACCCTCTCCTCACCAGGTTTGACCCCAACACACCCCACCCTCTCTCTCTCCTCACCAGGTTTGACCCCAACACACCCCACCCCCTCTCTCTCTCTCACCAGGTTTGTACCCCAACACACCCCACCTCTCTCTCTCCTCACCAGGTTTGACCCAACACACCCCACCTCTCTCTCTCCACCAGGTTTGACCCCAACCCCCCACCCTCCTCTCTCCTCACAAGGTTTGACCCCACCCCCCCCCCCTCTCTCTTCCTCACCAGTTTGTCCCCAACACACCACCCACCCTCTCTCTCCTCACCAGGTTTGACCCCACCACCCATCTCTCTCTCCTCACCAGGTTTGACCCCAACACACCCCACCCCCTTCTCTCTCTCCCTCCCCAAGGTTTGCCCCCACACCCCCACCCCCCTCTCTCTCTCCCCACCAGGTTGTCCCCACCCCACCCTCTCTCTCTCCTCACCAGGTTTGACCCCAACACACCCCACCCTCTCCTCACCAGGTTTGTCCCCACCCCACCCTCCTCTCTCCTCACCAGGTTTGACCCCAACCCACCCCCACCCCCTCACCTTCCCCAAACCCCCTCCCCTCACCAGGTTTGACCCCAACCACCCCACCTCTCTCTCCTCCCACCAGGTTGGCCCAACCACCCCCACCCTCTCCTCTCCCTCACCAGGTTTGCCCCACCCCACCCCACTCTCTCTCCTCACCAGGTTTGTCCCCAACCCACCCCCCCTCTCTCTCTCACCAGGTTTGACCCCCACCCCCACCCTCTCTCTCTCCTCACCAGGTTTGTCCCCCCCACCCCACCCACCTCCCTCTCCTCACCAGGTTTGACCCCACCACCCACCCCCTCTCCTCACCAGGTTTGACCCCACCACCCCACCCCTCTCTCCTCTCTCTCCCTCACCAGTTTGCCCCACCACCCCACCCCCTCTCTCTCTCCTCACCAGGTTTGCCCACACCCACCCCCCTCTCTCTCACTTCTCTCCCTCAACACCCCCCTTTTGTTCCCCACACACACCCCACCCCTCTCTCTCCTCCCCCTCCTCACCTTTTGTCCCACCACCCCACCCCCCCCCCCCTCTCTCTCTCCCCCAGGTTTGACCCCACCACCCCACCCTCTCCTCACCAGGTTTGACCCCACACACCCCCCCCTCTCTCTCCTCTCCTCACCAGGTTTGACCCCCACCCCACCCTCTCCTCCTCACCGGGTTTTGAACCCCCAACACCCCACCCCTCTCTCTCCCTCCCCACCACCCCCCCTCTCCTCACCAGGTTTGTCCCCACCCCACCCCCCCTCTCTCTCTCCTCACCAGGTTTGTCCCCAACCCCCCACCCTCTCTTCTCCCTCACCAGGTTTGTCCCACCCCACCCTCTCTCCTCACCGGTTTGTCCCCACCCCACTCTCTCTCCTCACCAGGTTTGACCCCACCCCACCCCACCCTCCTCACCAAGGTTTGACCCCACCCCACCCCACCCCACCCCTCTCTCTCCTCACCAGGTTTGTCCCCACCCCACCCCACCCCCACCCTCTCTCTCTCCTCACCAGGTTGTCCCACCCCACCCCACCCTCTCTCTCCTCACCAGGTTTGTCCCCACCCCACCCCCACCCCACCCTCTCTCTCCTCACCAGGTTTGACCCCACCCCACCCCACCCCACCCTCTCTCTCCTCACCAGGTTTGTCCCCACCCCACCCCCTCTCTCTCCTCACCAGGTTTGTCCATGAGTCTCCTCAGCTCCTGCTCTACACTGGGCTGCTGTTCCTCTAAGTCCTGTGTCTTCGCTCTGCACACACACACACACACACACACAGACACAGACACAGACACAGACAGACACACACAGACACAGACACACACACACGTTAGAGGACTAGGAAATATCTGTTGTGTGTATTTTATGTGGGTGGGTGTGTGTGTGTGTGTGTGGTGCGGTGTGTGTGTATGAGAGCGACTCACATATAGACCAGTTCAGACTCTCTCCTCATGGACACCTGTTTGTTTCTGATGAGGTTGAACCATTCCACCATCAGGTCATCCATCACCACGTCCTCTTCTCCCTCTGAAACACACACACACACACACACACACACACACGATTAACAACACAGTGGAATTTAAAAGCAGACTTCAAGATATCAAAGGTCATGAAACACTAGAGAAATATTAAGACACCATTTCCACCTCTCATCTCCTCTCCTCTCCTCCCTCCCTCCCTCCATCCAGCCACCAGTGCTCTCTTTATGTCCTTGTACTGCCCCTCAATCCCACAGAGACAGGAAGCTATCAGAGACTTTATTAGAGCCAGAAGTGGTGGAAATTCACCAGTCTCTTTTTGGGTCACATCCCCTCAGGTGATACCGACCCCAATCTAAACCTCATTTGGGGTACCCTCTTCCCTCTCTCCTCTTCCTCCTCACTCTCAATCTCCCCCTCTCTGCTCCCCCTCTCTGCTCCCTCTCTGCCCCCTCACTCTACCACCTCTCCCCTCCTCACTCTACCTCTCCTCCTCTCCTCTCCTCCTCCCCCTCTCTACCTCTCCTCCTCCCCCCTCCATCTCTCCCTCTGTGTGTCTCTTACTCTCTTCACAGGCCCGTAGTTGTTTCTCCAGGTCCACTCCTTTCCTCTCCAGCTCATTAACACTGTCCTCTATCTCCTGAAGCTCTCTCAGGATCTCTTCCTTCGGGATGTAGTCCGGTTTACCCTGCACACACACACACATTAATATAACCACACACACGTATTAACATCCCTCATCCCATCACCATCTATTTCATGTGTTAAACCTACTGGTTTAGGTGTCTTGGTGTCAGTCTTGGTGCCGTTAGCGGTCGTTGAGCTCTTTCCAGTCAAAAAGCCTGGAAGAGGAGAGGAAACACAGGAGAAGAGTGTGTTTTATTGGGAACTGGGGAAGTGTATGTCTGTCTGTCTATTTGTCTGTGTCTTACCCCATGTACCAGGGCCGGTGTTCAGCGGGCTGGGTGAGGAGGCTTGTGGAGGGATGGAGGGGGCCAGAGTAGACCCAGTAGGGCCTGAAGCCTGGGGGTTTCCTGATCCACCTGCCCAGGGCCGAGAGGGGGTTTCAGCCTTCTTAATGTCAGTGTGGAGGGGAGAGGATTCTTTAGGACCTGCAGGCCTGGCGAGAGAGATGAGGAGAAAGAGAGAGAGGGGAGGAGGAGGAGAGAGAGGGGAGAGAGAGAGAGGAGGGGAGGAGAAAGAGCAAGGGGAGGAGGAGAGAGTGGAAGAACAGATGTAATCTGACCTCTGACCTCTCATTTTCTCACAGAAAATATATTTCACCTCACCTTCTGTACATTCTGAGGGTCTGTGGGTCAGTAGGACTGAGGAGGAGGAAGAGGAGGAAGAATGGTCATCTGGGGGCAGGGGGATGGGACTCTGAGCACTAATTTCATGTTGCACTAGGGGACGGCTTTAGCCCGACACACCGCAGGTCTGATGTGGGCGAGGAGGGAGGGGAGGGTCTTTGATCTCCGGTGGCCCATGAAAACAGAGCGGCTTGGAGCGGCATGTACAAACCGCCTGCAGAACGAATGAACGGATGAATACACGAGTACAGGTAATAGGGCCAAGTGATTGTTCTCGGAGTGTGGTGACCTACGGTGGCTGGGACCTCACCCAGGTGACTCTTCTACGGCGGCTGGGACCTCACCCAGGTGACTCTTCTACGGTGGCAGGGACCTCACCCAGGTGACTCTTCTACGGTGGCAGGGACCTCACCCAGGTGACTCTTATACGGTGGCTGGGACTTCACCCAGGTGACTCTTCTACGGTGGCAGGGACCTCACCCAGGTGACTCTTCTACGGTGGCAGGGACCTCACACCCAAGTGACCAGACTTCCCAGTATACTAGTGGACCAGGGACAACACAAGTGGAAGTGGGATAGAACCAAGGTGATGATAGGTAGGGTCTACAGGTAGAATGAGTCTAATGTAATAGAGTTCTGTAGAGTAGACGTGTATTAATTCTGTAGAGTAGCAGTTTGTAGGTATTTTAGAGTTCTCGGTATTTTAGAGTTCTGTAGAGTAGAGTTCTACAGAGTATTTAGAGTTCTAAGAGTATTTTAGAGTTCTACAGAGTATTTTAGAGTTTGTAGAGTAGAGTCTACAGAGTATTTAGAGTTCTGTAGAGTAAGAGTTTAAGAGTATTTTAGAGTTCTACAGAGTAGTAGTGTCTACGTACGAGTATTTAGAGTTGTACTACTAGAGTATTTTAGAGTTCTGTAGAGTAGAGTTTAGAGTATTATCACAGAGTATTTTAGAGTTCTACAGAGAGTTCTTAGAGTGGTTCTACAGAGTATTTTCGAGTTCTACAGATTTTGAGTTCTGTAGTAAGTATGAGTTCTACAGAGTATTTTAGAGTTCTACAGAGTATTTTAAGATTATGTAGAGTAGAGTTCTGACAGAGTATTTTAGAGTTCTGTAGAGTAGGTTAAGTTTTAGAGTTCTACAGAGTAGGTCAAGTTTTAGAGTTTGATAGAGTCTACAGAGTATTTTAGAGTTCTACAGAGTATTTTAGAGTTCTGTAGAGTTAGAGTTTCTAGAGTCTACAGAGTTATAAGTTTTAAGTTCTGTAGAGTAGATTCTACAGAGTATTTTAGAGTCTAGAGATTTTAGAGTTCTACAGATTATTTTAGAGTTTGTAGAGTCTAGAGTTCTACAGAGTATTTAGAGTTTAGAGTATTCTGTAGAGTATTTAGAGTTCTAGAGTTAGTTTAGAGTTCTAAGATTTAGAGTTCTACAGAGTATTTTAGAGTTCTGTAGAGTAGAGTTTCTACAGAGTTTTAGATTCTACAGTATTAGAGTTGTAGTAATCTAGAGTATTTTAGAGTTCTCAGAGTATTTTAGAGTTCTAGAGTTTAGAGTTCCTACAGAGATTTTTAGAGTCTGCTAGAGTTAGGTTCTACAGAGTATTTTCGAGTTCTTGTAGAGTAGTTTTTAGAGGTTCTTACTTAGTATTTTAGAGTTCTACAGAGTATTTTTAGAGTTCTGCTAGAGGTAGAGTTCTACAGAGACTATTCTAGAGTTATTTAACAGAGGTATTTAGGGGGGGGAGTTTCTGTTACGAAAGTATTTTAGGTTCTGTAGAGTAGAGTTCTACAGAGTATTCGTAGAGTTCTTACAGAAGTAATTTTCGAGGTTCTGTAGCCGTTTACAGGAGTATTATAGAGTTTTCTGTGGAGTATTTTTAGAGTTCTGTAGAGTTTCTACAGAGTATTTTAGAGGTTCTGCTATAGAGTAGTAAGTTCTGTAGAGTATTTTAGAGTTCTGATAGAGTAGTTCTACAGCGTGATTTTAGAGTTCTACAGCGTAGAGTTCTACAGAGTATTTTAGAGTTCAGTGACAAGAGAATGAGCAGCAGGTGGAATAGAGCCAAACAGAAACACAACATAGTGGAATAGAGAGAAGTGGAGTGAAACCAGAGTAGATGTGAATATAGAGTAGAATAGAGCGTAGAGTAGACTATAGAGTCTAATATAGAGTCGAGTAGAATATAGTTGAGTAGAATATAGTGCAGAACGTAGAGTAGAATATAGAGTAGAGTAGAACACAGAGTAGAGTAGAATATAGAGTAGTGTAGAACAGAGTAGAATATAGTGCATAACAGAGTAGAATAGAACGTAGAGTAGAATAGAATTTAGAGTAGAATAGAATATAGAGTAGAATAGAATATAGAGTAGAATAGAATTTAGAGTAGAATAGAATATAGAGTAAAATATAGAGTAGAGTAGAACAGAGTATACTTACTTGGAGGCAGGTTTGAGGCTGGACCTCCAGTCAGCAGGAGAGCTGCTGTTGTCTGCTGCTGCTACAGAGAGACAAGACAATATAATATACAGCCCCCAAAAACATTACATCAACCATAATAGCCACAAATAATGAACACTGAAATCTGGGAAATGTGGATAACCAACTAGACAGACAGGGCAAATGGTGCTCACCCAGAGAGTTGTTGGGAGGAGTAGCTCTGGGTGCCATATCTAGGGTTTTGTTCCACAGGCCTGTTCTGCTGGCTGGGGTCGGGGTCGGGGTGGGGGTGGGGGTCGGGGTGGGGGTGTTGGGGGTCGGTGTGGGGCTGGAGGTGTGTGTGTTGGGGGTGAGGGGGGCGAGGAGAGAGGGGTCTGCTTTTAGCTTAACTCTGCCCCCCGCCTCCTTTTTAGGAGTCTCTTTCTTAGGTGTTTCAGCAGGGGCAGGTCTGAGAGAGGGAGACCTGTGGGAGACAGAGAGAGGCCTTTCAACATCGTACACACTCAAAAAGTATTTCCTCAATTCCTCACATCTTAACTCCTTGCTTCCTCCTCATACACACATTGGAATAGAAGGTCCTTCCCCTCTGATGAAAAGGAGATGAGGTAAGAGGATGCAAGGAATCAAGGAAAGATGAATTGAGGAAGGGCCACTGACACAAACTGTATAATTGAAGTGCTATTCCCCTATTTCACCAGCAGAGGTCGGGCTCTATACGGTCTATTAAAACGTTTCCCAAACAAAAGTGGTGTACGTTTTGGTTTTTGCCCTAACACCAGTGCTTAATTTGAGCCGGATCCAGTACCTCTCACAGCATGATTTATTAATTGTTTCACTGTTCGCATTGTAGACATTCTAATTAAACGTATCATCATTAAATGATTATCCCCCCCCCAGTTCAGTTCAAGAACAAGCAAACGTATGACCCCTGGCTTGTCATGCAGAATTCAAATAATGATATGCTGTTACTATGACAGCCTACTATGATGTAATGTATTATAACTGATATTAATGATATCAAATCAATTCAAATTCTATTTCTCACATGCGCCTAATACAACAGGTGTAGACCTTACCGTGAAATGCTTACTGACAAGCCCTTAACCAACAATGCAGTTCAAGAAATAGAGTTAAGAAAATGTTACTAAATAAACTAAACGTTTTTAAACAATAGAAGAAGAAATTAACAAGAAAATGACATAACAATAACAAGGCTATATACAGGGGGAACCGGTACAGAGTCAATGTGCTGGGGTACAGGTTAGTCGAGGTCATTTGTAAAGTGACTACGCATAGATGATAAACAGCTGGGATAACAAAAAGATGGTCTGTACAACATGTAAAAAGATAATAATAAATAATATAATATGCCATTTAGCAGACGCTTTTATCCAAAGCGACTTACAGTCATGCGTGCATACATTATTGTGTATGGGTGGTCCCGGGGATCGAACCCACTACCCTGGCGTTACAAGCGCCGTGCTCTACCAGCTGAGCTAAAGAGGACCACCCATACTTAAACTAGTAAAGAGTGGGTGGAATGTACAGTAACATCCTCTGCCTCAGACGTACAAAGAGTACATTGAACGTTGCCCGAACCAAGGCGCATTTGGTGGCAGCAAGCCTTGTAGACAAGGCTAAAGAGAACACCCAGGTTACAGTTAACACTCCAAATGAAAACACAGACACTACAGCTGGAGAGTTCCGAACAGCCTTAGAATGAGGCTAAACGTCACAGCCACGATCACGGCTTTGAGCAACAAGTTGACTCTCATGAGTTCTATATCGTGGAGCCCCGCCCCATAGGGGAGCTCTGCTCCTAATGGTTTACCCTCTGCCCTAAGGCAGCAGCAGCCTGAGACAAAATTATGCACACACCTGCAGCCAATAGGAGTACAGGTGTCCCTATAAGAGGGGGTGCCTCCCCTCAATCAGCCTCCCTTTTTCTTCAGCGACTGGATGACTAGACTGAAGAGCCAAGAAGAGACGAAGCACGAAGACTCAGGACGAAAACGCCGTTGATATTCCAGTCATCAACGTCGTCTAAATGAGCACACCGGGAGATTTTCCACCCCCAAAAGCTCTTTTCAGAGCTCAGTGCAGATGCACTTCCATGGCGGCCGGTGACCACCACGACTTACAGTGGGGAAAAAAAGTATTTAGTCAGCCACCAATTGTGCAAGTTCTCCCACTTAAAAAGATGAGAGAGGCCTGTAATTTTCATCATAGGTACACGTCAACTATGACAGACAAATTGAGAAAAGAAAATCCAGAAAATCACATTGTAGGATTTTTAATGAATTTATTTGCAAATTATGGTGGAAAATAAGTCACCAAGGTGCCCAGAGTATCGGCGCCCCCAGGCATTGTAACACAGCAGCTATCTGGGGACGGCGCATTATCGCAGACCAAGGTCTCGGTTAATGCGATTCAGACCCATGCTACGTTCACGGAGGGCAGGATTACTAGCGTTATGGGTATAACCAAAGTATCAGCTCCCCTGACAGAACGAGCCAGTACTCACCACACTGAGCGTGAATCAACCCACCAGGGGTGCAGATTTGAACACACACAGAAGGTGAAAGTTAAGAAGGTATCAAGGCGCCGCCTTGTTTTACCTCATAGAGACCTCATACTACAGACTTCTAGGAGTACTGTAGTGAAGGGCTTTGATAGCGAATTGCAGTCACCTAAGATGACGCAATCGCTTGCTGGGGATGGTGCCCTGCCGCAGGCCGTGGCCTCGGTCAGTGCAATTCAGACCCGCGATGCGTTCAAGGAGGGCAGGAATACGACGGTTACGGGTTTAACCGACGTCCCTACTCCTCTTTCTTTCTCAGAACGCATTTCCTCTCCCTTTCACGGGAGGCCCACCTTGGGCTGTTCCACCACTTCAATGTTGGGGAACAGTGGCGGTAAGGGCCATAGAGGAATACAGGTCCTTCCTACTGGATGCACCACAGCTTCGCGCCCAGCCACTTTCTCTGCATTGCTGGCAGTGGCGAAGAAGCTGCACCCTCTCACGCTGGCTAGAACAGACGTTGCAGAAGGGTTATGCTCTCCAATTCCACCGGACCCCCACCCCCGTTCAGGGGAGTGGTGGAGACGGTGATGAAAACGCCAGACAAAGTGGCCGCTCTGATGACAGAGATTACGGAACTTTTGGCGAAGGAGGCGGTGACAGTAGTTCCCCGGGAGCAAAGGAACAAGGGGCTATATTCGCCTTATTTCCTAGTGCCCAAAAAGACGGGGGGAGTGAGGCCGATTTTGGATTTACGCATTCTCAACGAGAGCATAACCAAACGGCCCTTCCGAATGCTAACGACAAAACGTCTGCTGGAATGTGTCCAGAGAGGGGACTTTTGTACGAGCATAGACCTAAAGGACGCGTACTTTCATGTGCCGGTTCAGCCGCGTCACAGGAAGTTTCTGCGGTCCGCCTTTCAAGGGGTGGCGTACGAATACACGAGGATGCCATTTGGGTATGCCCTGGCACCTCGCACATTTTCCAAGTGTGTGGAGGCGGCATTGGAACCGTTGCGTCGTCAGGGAATACGGCTACTAGCCTACCTGGACGACCTACTGGTTCTCGCCCCGTCAGCAGAGCTGGCGATCACTCACACAACACAGACAGTGATGCATCTCACAAGTCTGGGGTTCGCTGTGAATTGGAAAAAGAGCGCGCCCTGGCCCACTCATCAGATTGTCTACCTGGGGATACAGCTAGACACTGTGAGGATGAGGGCTCGAATTTCGGACCCCCAAAGGGTAGCCTTGTTGCTAGCCCTAAGGAAGTGTCATTGAGAGCAGCACACATTCCGGGCTACTTGAACGTAGGAGCAGACCTCATGTCAAGAGGGGGTCCTCGAGACGACGAGTGGTGTCTGCATCCAGACATTGTTCTCCAGATTTGGGAACAATTCGGGAGAGCCGAGGTGGACCTATTCGCGTCACGCGTGAACGCGCAATGTCCTCTGTGGTTCTCTCTGAGGGAACAGGACGAACCGCCACTGGGTAGGGACGCCTTTGCGCACCAACCGTGGCCGAGAGTTCTCCTGTATGCATTCCCTCCGCTGTCCTGCATTCTCCCACTGCTAGCCAGGGTGAGGTCAGGGGGGCTGTCAGTGATACTGATAGCGCCCGATCGCCCGGGGGCTCCGTGGTTTGCGGAGATGAGTCAGATGTTGATTGCGCCACCTTGGCCAATTCCACATACGGGACGCGTTGTCTCAGGCGGCTGGCACGATAGGGAAATTGCCCATAATCGGCCAACCACTGAAGGCCTGGCTGTTGAGAGGGACAGGCTAGAGCGCCGTGGGTTATCTGATGCAGTGATCAGGACCATACAGGGTTCACGTGCCAGTTCCACTTCTAAGATGTATGCCAGTAGATGGAACGTGTTTTCACGATGGTGTGTCACACAAGGTGTGGACCCCATGAGCTGTCAGGTGGAGAGTATTCTCTCTTTTCTGCAGCTCATGTTTGATAAGCAAAAATCGCCTGCCACGATTAGAGTGTTTGCAGCAGCGATTTCAGCTTGTCATGAGGGTTTTGGCAGAGACAATGTCTTTAGTCACCCTCTAGTGAAACGCTTCCTATTAGGAACGCGGCGACTTAGGCCAACACCTAGAGTCACGCTTCCTCAGTGGGATTTGGCTTTGGTACTCGAAGCGCTATGTAAGTCGCCGTTCGAGCCATTGAATCAAATACCCCTCAAGATGCTGTCTATCAAGACAGCACTGTTGCTCGCTTTGACTACAGCTAAGCGGGTCAGTGATTTGTGTGCTTTTTCGACGAGACCTGACTGCTTGGCCATCAATGGTGACCTGAGCAGAGCAGTGTTACGTCCTAACCCGGCATTTGTGCCGAAGGTTATTAAGAGTTCATATAGGTCACAGACCGTGGAGCTGTGGGCTTTTTCTCCTCCTCCTCATAGAGAGAGGAGTGAGGAGAAGCTCCATCGCCTGTGCCCGGTACGCGCTTTGGCGTGTTACGTCGAGCGCACAGCAGCGATTAGGTCATCGCCTCAGTTGTTTGTGTGTCACGGTGCGGCTGCACTAGGTAGACCACTTTCAAAACAGAGGCTGTCTCACTGGCTTTGTGAAGGCATTGAGACAGCTTATGAGGTAGCAGGGCGGCAATTGCCTCAGGGTATCAGAGCTCACTCCACTCGTGGAGTAGCGGCTTCTACTGCCCTTTTTAGAGGAACAGGAGTAGAGGATATCTGTAGAGCAGCATCCTGGCCGACACCGTCTCCATTTATCCGTTTCTATCTCTTAGATATGTCTTCTAATTCTCTGGCTCGATCTGTACTCAGCGTGGCTGAAGGGAGATCTTGAGCAAGAAAGAGAGGAGAAGCAGGACTGTGGACTCAGGTTTCCATCAGGTCCGCTTTGGTTAGGAAGACGTGTTTTTGACAGATGTGTTTTCTAACTCTTTGGCTAGGTCTGTATTCAGCATAGCTGAAGGGAGATCTGGAGCTAGGAAGAGAGGGAAAAGCAGGACTATGGACTGGGTTTCCATCAGGTCCGCTTTGGATAAGAAAACATATTTTGTGACATGAATCCTGACTGACAGGATCAGTACAGTAGAGGCATGCGTTGATTAACATAATATGAGGTCATCTATCTGCTTGTTCAGTTAGTATGACTCATGTTTTTGTTCCTGCCCACTAATCTCTGGGATTCCATTGAGTGAGTGAGGCGGTCTACCGCGTTCATAATGTAGAGTGACACTTGGTGTCATTCCATTAGTGGTCGGTAGTGTTTTCACAGGATATTGAGGCACATCTATCTGCTAGTACAGATTAGTATGGCTTCTATTCTGGTGATCTGCCCACTAGTCATTGGCATTGCCATTGGACTAGGTGGGGCGGGTTTTTTAACCGATGACGCGGTATATTGTGACGCCCGTAGGGGTTTTAGTTGCAGTACTGCGGGACTCGGTTGCAGCCATTGCTAGGCTTGACTTTCTCGTTTCGATGGGAAGTGTTAGGCTCGGCAGGGAGTACATTTTGGAGCGCTACGCTCCGCCTTAAACCATTAGGAGCAGAGCTCCCCTATGGGGCGGAGCTCCACGATATAGAACAACTAGGTGTTCCGGGACCTCAGAAATGGACTCTTGACATGGGGAGATTCGTTGTGGGAGGTTTTGGAAAACTAAGGTAGGGATTCTTAGGATTTTTTTATTTTTACAAACTTAGTTCTGTACTGGGGACATTAATCTGAATATGTGCGTCATATATTATCACACAGGCCAGGAGGCCTTGGCATATTATTCTTCATGTGTGTGTTCTTCTGCTGTAGCCTACATTTTATTTATTTGAAGATTATTATTCCGATTATTGTCATATTGCTTCTACTGCTATATTGAGGTCTTGAAAATTATATGAAATCGGGTCTGCATATGCATATCGCCGGTATTCTGCAGGTGACGTTCTAAAATGTTTGCCTTGTAACATTGATGTCTAGAAAATTAGGCCTCTAAGAAATTCCGACAATTCAGACCTGTGGTAAAGCCCCTCCCAGCTATACTCCAAGTCCGTGGCCACAACTTGTTTTTTAGTAGTGGCGTCTAAAATCCTTTGAATTAATAATCAGCACCTTGTGTTTGGATCCTTTTTTCCACAATGTGTTTCCGGTACCTCAAAGCCCCCCCGGATTTAACCCCCCCCCCCCCCCCCGGCTTTCGCACTCACTATGTGTTCCGGGACCTCAGAGACCCCCGGATAACCCCCCCGTTTTCGCACTCACTATGTGTTCCGGGAAAATGATTATTTGAATCAGCTGTGTAGTTCTAGAGCAAAAACCTAAAAACGTGCACCCCCTTGGGGTCCTGAGGACAGAGTTTGGCAAACCCTGCTCTAATATTATTCAGTTATGTGAATGTCTGAGATTTCTCACCTGTTCTCAGTCTTCTTCAGTTCTATAGGGTGCCAGGGAGGACTAGAAGCACCAGCTGTTGTTGTTGTAGTAGTAGTATTGTTGTTGTTGTTGGTTAGTTTCTTAGTGATGACAGCAGCAGCCCGGGTCTTGGTACTATGGTCTTCTTTAGATGGAGAAGCTTTCACATCATCATCCATCTTGAAGACAACTCTACCTTTACCCTGAACCACATCCCTGTCTCCACCTGTACCCCCACCTACAACCACATCCCCTCCCTTAACCCCTATCCCACCGCCACCCAAACTCACTACCACACTCACGTCCTGACCAACACCCACTACTGTCCCCTGCGTGCCCGCGTTCGGGACTCTATTTGTGGGTAGACCCTGTGCCTGTCCCCAAGTCTGGGTCTTGCCCTGGTTCTCCTGCCCAGTGGTGGTGTTGTTCCCAGGCTGGAAGAACTGCAGCCGGGCCTGCTGGGTCTTGGATGCTGTGGGAGTGGTGGTGGCAGCTGTAGTGTTGAAGCTCCGCGGAGCTGCGGTGGGTCCAGAGGCTGCAGGGCTCACTATGCCCAGGGAGGAGAGCCCCGGGCTGGGCCGCGAGGAGGAGAGCCCCGGGCTGGGCCGCGAGGAGGAGAGCCCCGGGCTGGGCCCCGAGGTGGCGGCAGAGGGGCTAGTGGTTTTGGATCCGTCTGATTTGGAGCTCAGCCAGCGAGGGCCTAATTTGGAGGGGGTATTGGTGGGTGTCGGAGCAGGGGTGGATTTAGGGGGAGCTGTGTATTTGGGGCCGGGGATATTCCTGGAGAGGTCTGAGAGAGGGGTGGTCTTGACAGTGGGAGGGGGGTGAGGGGTGTATTTGGGCAGGTCTCGGAGGGGGGTGTGTGTTGGCGGCGTCCCCTCGGGGTGGTGGTGGGAGGTACAGATGAAGGAGCCAGGTGTTGCTCCAGGTTTACAGTTACCAGACAGTAGGGTGGTGGAACACTCACTACACCTGGAGAACAGAGATGACATAGAACACCAACTATATATGGAGAACACACAAGACCAGTGGTAGCTGAAACAAAAACACTAACAATGTTCTGTGTCTGTCTGGACGTCTGTCAACCAACCAAATCTATGTCCACGTCTGTCTGTGTATAAACTGATACATGTTACAGTACTGAACGCAGTGTAAAGCACAGGTGTCTTACTAGGTACATCTCCATATAGTGAACCATTTCAATAGGTGACTGGTATAACAATACATGGTAGAGTAATTAACATGGTAAAGTCTTACTTGGCACAGTTCCTGTGATACAGCCTCCCATCCACTAGGTGTCTCTGGACCAGGTGAACATGTTTATTACACACGGAACACTTACTGGTCAGAGTCCCTGTCTTATTGGAGCGCTCCGACAACACATCCTTCTGGGGATGCGGGGTTAGTGATGGGGGGGGGGGGGGGGGGGGGGGGGGGGGGGCGAGAAAGACAGAATAGCATTCTGTTAGTTACAACAGGAGTATTTAACCTAGGGTCTGCAGCCTGACGGTACTACAGGGGGTCCGTGAAAAATAATAATATATATATATTATTATTTTATTTATTTTTTAAAACAATGATAATTTTTATTTCAATGTTTTTATTACTATCGCTAGCAACAGAAAACGAATGTTGAATTACAAACCTACATTTATAAATTTTGATTACCATTCACCTGATGGTAAGAGAAAATGTTTTTGTTAACATATTATGGTGATCCCCGGGCAAGAAAAGGTTGAAGAGCCCTGAGTTAGAACAATAGAACCAAATCAAAGTTCTATTGGTCACGTGCACACGGTACAGTGAAATGCCTGCTTGCTAATAACTCTTCAACAATGCACTACAATATCAATATCCATCAAGAATCAAATACCCAATACAAAAGTTAAAAAAACTAAACAAGGAGTAATAAAAAGTTGAAGGAAATAAAACAAATAAACTAGTATGAGACGTATGTACATAATAGAATATACAGTATGAGGGCCTCTCGAGTGGTGCAGCGGTCACTATAGCCTGGGGTCCGACCCCCGTGTTGAGAGTCAGCTTGGCGGAGGAGTTGTTGCCTACCCTCACCAACTAGGGTCCGCCCGTCAGGAAGTCCAGAATCCAGTTGCAGAGGGAGGTGTTCAGTCCCAAAATGCATCATACCGGCTGTATTTCTTTATTGTGAAAGTTATACATCTTGAAAACTTGATCGCTGACATGCAGACATGTTGGGACTATATCAACAATTGGCTAATGAAATAAATTCCAAAAGATCGTTTTTGGATGGAGTTATGACAAGCTTGGAGGGACTATTGTGCTGAAAGCTGAGGTCAACGAACAGCACTCACACATTCCTCTTGTCCAGGTGGGATACAGGGACAACTGTGGACATCTTGATGCATGTGGGGATTACTAACTGGGAGAGGTTGAATGTCCGTGAACACTCCAGCCAGCTGGTCTGCGCATGCTCTGAGGACGTGACCAGAGATACCGTCAGGGCCGGCTGCTTTGCGAGTATTCACGCGCTTAAAAGTCTTACTCATGTCGGCCACAGAGAACGAGAGCCCTCATAGGAGGATCAATGTTGTTTTCCTCAACACGAGTATAGAAAGGGTTTGTACTCGTTTGGGAGAGTGGCATCGGTGTTAGAAAGCCTCACAGAAGAGTGTATGCGTGTGTAGAGCAGGGTTCTCCAACCCTGTTCCTGGAGAGCTAACCTCATGCAGGTTCACTCCAACCCTGTTCCTGGAGAGCTAACCTCATGCAGGTTCACTCCAACCCTGTTCCTGGAGAGCTAACCTCATGCAGGTTCACTCCAACCCTGTTCCTGGAGAGCTACCCTCATGTAGGTTCACTCCAACCCTGTTCCTGGAGAGCTACCCTCCTGTAGGTTTTAACGTCAACGCTGTTCCCGCAGAGCTACCCTCCTGTAGGTTTTAACGCCAACCCTGTTCCCAGAGAGCTACCGTCCTGTAGGTTTTCACGCCAACCCTGTTCCTGGAGAGCTACCCTCCGGTAGGTTTTTCGCTCCAACCCTAATCTAGCAGCTGATTCTAATAATTAGCTTGTTGATAAGATGGATCAGGTTAGTTACAACTGGGGCTGGAGTGAAAACCTACAGGAGGGCATCTCTCCCTGGAGAAGAGGATGTAAAGGAGATCCTTACCTGTGCTGGCCTGTCTGGTCTGGGTGAGGCTTTGGGTGAGGAGGAGGGGGGAGGGCGGTTCTCAGTAGTGGATTTAGAGGGGTTAGAGGCGGGGAAGACCTTCGAGACAACTGCTTGGTTCTTTTTCCCAGAAGGCCCCTGTTCTGTGGACGCCTCCGCTGGACGCTTTATCCCCGCCATGCCGCCAACTACACACACACACACACACACACACACACACACACACACACACACACACTAACTGATCACAAAGTTCATTCCAGTGTGTGTGTGCCCGTATCATGTGGGCATCACGTGTATATCTGCTTGCACATGTCTCCTCACTATGTCTGTGTGTATGTGTACTCACTAGGTGATTTCCCATGGAAGTAGTTGTAGTATTGAGAGACGTATGTCAGTATACTGAGCCTGTCTGGTATCTTTAGGGCCACCATGTCCTCAGCATCTAACAGAGCTGGGATCCCCAACTCATCCTCCGCTACCCGGAACGCCTGGGAACACACACACATATATATAGAAGGTTGGAACGCCTGGGAACACACAGTATATAGAAGGTTGGAACACACAGATATATAGAAGGTTGGAACACACAGATATATAGAAGGTTGGAACACACAGACATATAGAAGGTTGGAACACACAGACATATAGAAGGTTGGAACACACAGACATATAGAAGGTTGGAACACACAGACATATAGAAGGTTGGAACACACAGACATATAGAAGGTTAGAACACACAGACATATAGAAGGTTGGAACACACAGACATATAGAAGGTTAGAACGCCTGGGAACACACAGAAGAAGAAGGCACGACAACGCCTCTTCCCCCTCAGCAGGCTGAAAAGATTTGGCATGGGCCCTCAGAACCTCAAAAAGTTATACAGCTGCACCACTGAGCGCATCTTGACTGGCTGCCTTGTGGTTGAAGGAATTGTCTGTAGAGCGCCGAGACAGGATTGTGTCGAGGCACAGATCTGGGGAAGGGTACCAAAAAAATTTATGCAGCAAGGTCCCCAAGAAGTGGCCTCCATCATTCTTAAATAGAAGAAGTTTCGAACCACCAAGACTCTTCCTAAAGCTGCCAAGCGTCACGTCTGGAGGAAACCTGGCACCATCCCTACGGTGAAGCTTGGTGGTGGCAGCATCATGCTGTGGGGATGTTTTTCAGTGGCAGGGACTGGGAGACTAGTCAGGATCGAGGGAAAGATGAACAGAGCAATGTACAGAGAGATCCTTTATGAAAATCTACTCCACAGCGCTCAGGACCTCAGACTGGGGCGAAGGTTCACCTTCCAACAGGACAACGACCCTAAGCACACAGCCAAGACAATGCAGGAGTGGCTTCGGGACAAGTCTCTGAATGTCCTTGAGTTGCCCAGGCAGAGTCCGGACTTGAACATCTTCTGGAGAGACCTGAAAATAGCTGTGCAGCGACGCTCCCCATCCAACCCGACAGAGCTTGAGAGGATCTGCAGAGAAGAATGGGAGAAACTCCCAAAATACAGGCATGCCAAGCTTGTAGCATCATACTAGGAGGGGCGGTATACCAGTATGAACGTGAATACCGGTATGACGTTGTGCCATGATATGGATTTTGCCATATCATGATAAATTAATGTATGAATTAAGGCTTTTTTGTTTCTTTCAAAATGTCTCTGTCGAGTGATACAGCCTAGCGGGCTAGTTCAAATGGTTTATTATACTAAAAACAAAGAAAAAAAACTAGAAGCATGGATGTTACACGCAATCTGCCTGCCAATCAAAGTCAACAAACAAACATGCTCAACTGCAGAGTAAGCAAACATTTAGTGAAGTAAACTCCTTTCGGTAGCAAAAGTGTCCGAAAAATCAAGCCTTGAGGATGACTGAAGACAAGGAAAATAACGCTAAAGGTTGATTTGCAGAATGACGAAGAATTGGTTCGAAAAAAAGAGGGCCTCCTCTGTCGTTTGGAACTGGTTTGGCTTTAAGATATCCGACCTCGACCAACAAACAGTACTGTGTAAGTTGTGTCGACGCATTGTGCTAGCCAAAGGCAAACAGTACTGTGTAAGTTGTGTCGACGCATTGTGCTAGCCAAAGGCAAACAGTACTGTGTAAGTTGTGTCGACGCATTGTGCTAGCCAAAGGCAAACAGTACTGTGTAAGTTGTGTCGACGCATTGTGCTAGCCAAAGGCAAACAGTACTGTGTAAGTTGTGTCGACGCATTGTGCTAGCCAAAGGCAAACAGTACTGTGTAAGTTGTGTCGACGCATTGTGCTAGCCAAAGGCAAACAGTACTGTGTAAGTTGTGTCGACGCATTGTGCTAGCCAAAGGCAAACAGTACTGTGTAAGTTGTGTCGACGCATTGTGCTAGCCAAAGGCAAAGTTGTGTCGAAGCATTGTGCCAAAGGTGGAAACACCAGCAATCTTTTTCACCACCTGAAAACCCTGCATGTGCGCGAATATGAAGATTCTACCAGAATGCGTGCAACAAACCCCCGGAGCAGCGGAGCAAGTCCCAAGACATCTTCACGGCAGTCCCGCACTCAGCTGTCACTCAAGGCATCATTCGTTAGTGTTACTCCATATGACAAGAAGAGCAAGAAGTGGAATGAGATAACGAGTGCAATTACGTATCACATAGCGAAAAGACATGGAACCAATTCAAACAAGAGCCGTAAATACTTTCAGCAAAACATGTCTGTCAGAACTCTACACAGAATGTCGGGACAGAGTTGCCAACGAAATCCGCAACGCTGCATTCTTCTCTACCACTGCCGACTTATGGTCAAGACGGACCACAGAGCCATACATTAGCCTCACGATTCATTACATTGACGACAACTGGAAGCTGCAAAGCAAATGCCTTCAGACCTCTTATTTCCCAGACGACCACACCGGAGAAATAATTGCAGCTGGGCTGAGGGAGGCACTTTCATCCTGGGGCTTGAAAGAGTCGCGTCAAGTATGTATGACTACCGACAGCGGATCGAACATGGTCAAGGCATTGGAGCAGAACAAATGGACAAGACTAGGGTGTTTCAGACACAGGCTACACATTGTAAGTTTCAACGTCCAAAACGCGTAGAAAAATAACGTAACTTAAGAACAACAACTTCAAATGCAGAAGAACTTATTAACTGTAACTGACCTCGAATAATGCAAAAGAAAATAAGTTCATGTTAATTTTTAAACCACACAATACTAATGTTTTAACTAAGGAAGAGTTCAGAAATCAATATTTGGTGGAATAACCCTGATTTTCAATTTTACATTTACATTTTAGTCATTTAGCAGACGCTCTTATGCAGAGCGACTTACAGGAGCAATTAGGGTTAAGTGCCTTGCTCAAGTGCACATTTACGTCATTTAGCAGACACTCTTATCCAGAGCGACTTACAAATTGGTGCATTCACCCTATAGCCAGTGGGATAACCACTTTCCAATTGTTTTTTTGTTTTTTTTTTTGGGGGGGGGGGGGGGGGTAGAAGGATTACTTTATCCTATCCCAGGTATTCCTTAAAGAGGTGGGGTTTCAAATGTCTCCGGAAGGTGGTGAGTGACTCCGCTGTCCTGGCGTCGTGAGGGAGCTTGTTCCACCATTGGGGTGCCAGAGCAGCGAACAGTTTTGACTGGGCTGAGCGGGAACTATGCTTCCGCAGAGGAAGGGGAGCCAGCAGGCCAGAGGTGGATGAACGCAATGCCCTCGTTTGGGTGTAGGGACTGATCAGAGCCTGAAGGTACGGAGGTGCCGTTCCCCTCACTGCTCCATAGGCAAGCACCATGGTCTTGTAACGGATGCGAGCTTCAACTGGAAGCCAGTGGAGTGTGCGGAGGAGGGGGGTGACGTGAGAGAACTTCACTTGGGAAGGTTGAACACCAGACGGGCTGCGGCATTCTGGATGAGTTGTAGGGGTTTAATGGCACGGGCAGGGAGCCCAGCCAACAGCGAGTTGCAGTAATCCAGACGGGAGATGACAAGTGCCTGGATTAGGACCTGTGCCGCTTCCTGTGTAAGGCAGGGTCGTACTCTCCGAATGTTGTAGAGCATGAACCTGCAGGATCGGGTCACCGCCTTGATGTTAGCGGAGAACGACAGGGTGTTGTCCAGGGTCACGCCAAGGCTCTTCGCACTCTGGGAGGAGGACACAACGGAGTTGTCAACCGTGATGGCGAGATCATGGAACGGGCAGTCCTTCCCCGGGAGGAAGAGCAGCTCCGTCTTGCCAGGGTTCAGCTTGAGGTGGTGATCCGTCATCCATACTGATATGTCTGCCAGACATGCAGAGATGCGATTCGCCACCTGGTTATCAGAAGGGGGAAAGGAGAAGATTAGTTGTGTATCGTCAGCGTAGCAATGATAGGAGAGGCCATGTGAGGATATGACAGAGCCAAGTGACTTGGTGTATAGGGAGAAAAGGAGAGGGCCTAGAACTGAGCCCTGGGGGACACCAGTGGTGAGAGCACGTGGTGCGGAGACAGCTTCTCGCCACGCCACTTGGTAGGAGCGACCGGTCAGGTAGGACGCAATCCAGGAGTGAGCCGCGCCGGAGATGCCCAGCTCGGAGAGGGTGGAGAGGAGGATCTGATGGTTCACAGTATCAAAGGCAGCAGACAGGTCTAGAAGGACAAGAGCAGAGGAGAGAGAGTTAGCTTTAGCAGTGCGGAGAGCCTCCGTGACACAGAGAAGAGCAGTCTCAGTTGAATGACCAGGATTCAATCACAGCTTTCATGCGTCTTTCACATTGATGTTGGGTGACTTTATGCCACTCCTGGCGCAGAAATTCAAGCAGCTTGAAGGAAACCAAAAGGGTTTGCCGAATTTGCTATCATGATAAATTAGTATGATTAAGGCTTTTTTTCTCAAAATGTCTCTGTCGGGATACAGCCTAGCGGCTGTCAAATGGTTATTATACAAACAAAGAAAAACAGAGCATGGATTTACACGCAATCTGCTGCCAATCAAAGTCAACAAACAAACATGCTCAACTGCAGAGTAAGCAAACATTTAGGAAGTAAACTCCTTTCGGTAGCAAAAGTGTCGAAAATCAGCCTTGAGGATGACTGAAGACAAGGAAAATAACGCTAAAGTTGGATTGCAGAGACGAAGAATTGGTTCGAAAAAAAGAGGGCCTCCTCTGTCGTTTGGAACTGGTTTGTTTTAAGATATACGACCTCGACCAACAAACAGTACTGTGTAAGTTGTGTCGACGCATTGTGCTAGCCAAAGGCAAACAGTACTGTGCAAGTTGTGTCGACGCATTGTGCTAGCCAAAGGCAAACAGTACTGTGTAAGTTGTGTCGACGCATTGTGCTAGCCAAGGCAAACAGTACTGTGTAAGTTGCGAAAGCATGTCTAGCATTGATTGTGTCGACGCATTGTGCTAGCCAAGGCAAACAGTACTGTGTAAGTTTGTGTCGACGCTATTGTGCATAATGGTCGCCGCATTGTGCCAAAGGTGAAACACCAGCAATCTTTTTCACACCTGAAAAACCCTGCAT